AGTAGCGATGGCCTCCACCCTAGTAGCGATGGCCTCCAACCTAGTAGTGATGGCCTCCACCCTAGTAGCGATGGCCTCCAAATAGATCAAGTTTCTAAGAACCAATGGGCTTTTCGAATGATTTTGTTCAAGAAACAGGTTGGATCGCTCTTAGGTCTTGTTCGAACAAGGGGCTTATCGCCAGGTGATCTCGCAGGCTGAGAGCTGCTTGACAGTGGCCGAGCACTGGCTACATGCATCCACACGCTTCAGTCGTCGAGGTGCAGAAGCAAGGAATGCGTTGTATGCCTTTGTTACTAGTAGCGATGCCCTTTGCTCCTAGTAGCAAGCATTGCTCCTAATAGTAAGGCCAGGAGCCCCTAGTAGCTTCTTTGCTCCTAGTAGCGATGCCCTTTGTTTAGAATGGTTTTTTCATCTCCTTTTATGTATACATTTTGCCTTTTCTCTTGTCTTCTCTTTAAATGCTTTTTAAGCGAACATAGAGGCCTTTCGGTTTCGGTTTCTTTGTGATTCCGTGTGCACGTGGAGAGGCTTTTCCGTGGAGAGTTCCCACAACAGTGTGCATGTGGCGCTGGGATTCCCCATGTCGACAGTGCCCTACGCAGCTTTCCATCCCATCTTCTTCTTGCACCATGCCAATGTGACGCTACTAGTAGCTCCTGGCATCGCTACTAGGAGCATTCCTACGGGTAACAAGAAGCTACTGGGGGCTCCTGGCTTTACTACGTTCCTGGTAGCTACTAGGAACAAGAAGCTACTAGGAGCAAAGGGCATCGCTACTAGGAGCAAGAACGCTACTAGTAGCTCCTGGCATCGCTACTAGGAGCATTCTTGCTAGGAGCAAGGACGCTAATAGGGGCTCCTGGCCTTACTAGTAGGAGCAAGAACGCTACTAGGCACCATGCCAATGTGGACCGAATTTATGAGAAGCACTTGCACATGGAGACGCCTGAGGAATCAGCCACTCGCCAGAAACCCTTTAGCTCCGGAGTGTTGCACTTAAGAGCCCACCAAGCAAACCGCAACACACCAAACTGATATGGCCAGACAAAGTCAGATATCAAGATTATCAAGCAGTTTTTGCTCCAAGTTACGAACAATGCCACAATGTCGTTGATAAGGTGCACATGCGTCATTATGCGTGACAGAGTCAATGCGGGGTACCGTCACATGGTAAGGGCGGGGGGTTTAGTGTTGCTTGCACATGCTTGCACGTGCGGCATGGGGGCGGGTGTGTTCTTGTGGGATGGTGGTCGTAGTGCTTTGTGGTTGGTTCGGACGCGCGGTTACATTGGACACTCGCAGTGAAGGTTTCAAAACGCATTGTGACGGCTGCCAAAAACATTGAACAGTTGGGAAGCGAGCCGTATTGCAAAGGCGTATTGCAAAGCCTGCAATGTGCACACAGTATTGCCAAAGCTAACCAAACAATTCTACATTGCTAAGAGCAGAGCATATATATGTTTCCATGGAGACCATCGCTACTAGGTTGGAGGCCATCGCTACTAGGAGCAAGGGCATCGCTACTAGGAGCAAGGACGCTACTAGGAGCTCCTGGCCGTACTACTAGGAACAAGAAGCTAGTAGAAACAATAAGCTACTAGGAACAAGTGCATCGCTTCTAGTAACAAGTGCCTTACTACTAGGAACAAGAAGCTAGTAGAAACAACGAGCTTTCGAACTCTGTCGCCACGAGGCGCTCTCACCCGGATGGGTGCGCCAATCACCCGTTGGGTCGACTCTCGTGTCTTCCGGTGTTTGCTCAATCGGTGCATCATCTCGAGGGCGCCGGTTTTGCCCACACTTGTTGGACGGGGAACGTGTTGGACGTCTTGGTTGGATCCCAGGGCCATTGATCTCTTGTTCCTCGTGAGGTGGCGTAGGCTGCTGTACACGCAACTCTTTGGAGGGGCAACACCTTGAGCAAGGAGCGACAGTGTGCATGAGCGCGGAGCTGGTCGACCTTAGATCTGAGGTCGGAAGAGTTGCCCTTGCTTGCTTTGCGTGAGGGTCGGCGCCAGTCGCGAGCATCCATTCAGCCTCCATCATCACAGAGGTAAAAGAATCAAAAGCCTTCCTAGGAGCAAGAAGCTACTAGGAGCAAAGGGCATCGCTACTGGGAGCAAAGACGCCATTAGTAGCTCCTGGCATCGCTACTAGGAGCATGTGTCTTTATTGGGTTGTTGCCTGTACCAGTGACATTGTTCACGAAAAGAGTTGTGTGAACAGCTGGAAGCCCCTATGAAGGATGTGCACCGTAGCATGGCCATGCTGCCAATGCCACTTTAGACTCCTTGCACGAGTCTAAACAATACACTGATGGCGCCATGCAGCTTCCACGTAGAGCGTGCGCTGTAGTCTTTGTGTCCTAGTAGCGAGCCCTTTGCTCCTAGTAGCGTCCTTCTTTCACATCTAAAACATGGCCCAGCTGACACACATGTCTTCCTGATACCTCCACTAGATTGCTTGGCTAAACTACAACGAACACATGCGTGACGGTGTGGGCTAAACTATACCCGTACATGTGTGTTTTCATCTAAATCATAGTTGCTTCACAAATACATTGCATCTACGGACGGGGAAAAACAACCAAAACAACAAATAACACCAAAGTAAGAACAAATAGACAAAAACAACGCTACTACTGGCCTTACTACTAGGAACAAGAAGCTACTAGAAGCAAGGGCATCGTTACTAGTAACAAAGGGCATTACTACTAGTAGCATTCTTTTCGTTTTAGTTACTTGGAAGCTCTTCGTTTCTTTTCTCGTTTTGACATGTACGAGGCTATGGAGTTCGCAGCCCGACAGCGGAGCCTCGCGGAGGAGGGCGAGCCCAACCGCTATCTCCAAGCCCTCGAACCCTTCACTTTGGACGGAAGGCCGATCGCGGGTCGAACAGGTCTGCGCCGGAAAGCGCGTCTCAATCAGAGGCTTTCAAACAGATGAACGTTGTCTTCGCTTTTGGTTGGAGGGTGGATGTTTTCGGAGCATTGGCGTAGAACGAAAAGGACAAACAACAAGAACTGTTCGAACAGATGTAATTCCGTTTGTTGCGAAACGTCCTTGTCGAGATCGGACATGGCCATCGCTGCAAGTTGTCAGATGCCAGGCCTATAATGCCGGCGGACACCTTCAACACAGAACATCTAGGCACTGACATCGAATTGATAAGCTGACATGGCTATT